ATTTACGCAAGCAGATCTCGTTGATAAGAGTCGTAATGAACGCGCCGGATGTTCGGATCGATAACTTTTTTAGTAACTCGCTACATGCGAACTGACCCTTTGGTACAATCATAATTTCCCTGACTAGATTAAACAGGGTCAATTAAATTACGAAATAAACTTTTTTAAGCACGTCAACATAATTTTATATATTATTAACAAAATTTTATATACAGGTGAATTAATAATATGTATCATAAAAGTACTATGATGAATTCATTATAAATGTACTGGAGATCATTAAGTGAATGTATTCTTGTATTTTGATGAATTAAAATTTATTTCTCTTAGGCTTTATAATGAAGTCAGAATTTCTTACTGACTCACTCTCTATTGTAACAATTTCATGCTATACATGTATGTAGATGAACTAGCTATGAAAAGAAATGATTTCGTTAATGAACCCTAACGCTTATTATTGGATCGATAAAATCTATGCTTAATCAGTAGTTATAATCGGTTTAGCTAAATATTCTGTATTATAATAAATGCATAGAAAATTTCTTTCAATCAAATGAGTAAGTAATTGTTTATTTCAAATTGTAGTTTTTATTGACTTAGTCTGTATAAACAAAATTTGAAACTATTGCATGGCGCAGTTTCGTTCTATTGGAAATACATAGGTACATATACATACATATGTAAAACAGTATCGTGTATATTCAGACATATTCGCAGCTGTTGCGGAATGTAATTATGGTTGCGCCAAGAATTACACTGTTCTATTGAATCACTTTCAGCCGCGAAATAGTAATCGGAAACGTAGGCGTGGTACTGTGTGATACATCACGTAACAGGAATTTGTGCCTTAATTTACTTGACGTGAACATAATTGCAATTAGTTATCAACGGCCTTATCATTGCATTATCACGGAACAGTAAACTCATCCGTAGGACTTGTTATCTGGGTTAACTCGATTATATCTTCGATCTAACAAACTGAGACCCTTCAACGGTTTCCAACTACTAAAGCTAGAACATACATATGTATGTATGCATTATCCTTGGCGTCTTAAAAGAACGAAATGGTTCTGTTGTAAATTTTTTATAATTCAGTCTCGCGTTGAGAGTCTTGGATTAAGAATTTTATATCGGTCAGTCCGTCGGAATCAAATCCAGATAACGAAGATGAAGCTGCCGCTTCTGGTCACATTTGTTCCAAAGTCTGATTTCGAACCGATTTTAATTACAGGCATCAGTGGTGGGCCGCCACGCATCACTGCCGTGGAATTATTTCTTGATTGACTTTATCGAAAGTTCTCTCAGCTCCCCAAAGTCTATGTATCTTCAGTTGAAGTTTTCGACTACAACAATATTCATTATAAATAATTTTCTCTCAAATTATTCCCTAATCAACCATCTTTTATTTACGCATAAAAATTTGCAGTTTAGTTGCTAATTAAATATGGGACAAATTTTTTAAATCACTCACGTGTCACAATTATCTATTTTTTCTCGATCGCTAAACTTTTATTTTTAGTCCTCAGAGATTTGAATAATTTCAAACATTTTTTATTCGAAATGCTAATGTTGACGTCAGTTCAAACAGAAGTCAAAGTTCGAATAATCGTATTATTTTATGATAATTGAGCTGATCAGTTTCCTGAAAACGTACGGATTCAATTCTACTTGTTTCGAAAGCAAGAAATTTCCCCATTCTCAAACTTCTAACGTTTATACAGTTATTGTCATTGAAGTAGAAAGATAGCCCGAGTCAAATTGTTTTAAAATGGTTAAAAAGTAGTTGAATTTTATATCTGCAAAAGCTTAAATGTGTATTTAATGATAAAATACACAGAATGAATCAATATTAAATCCCATTTGAAATGATCCTTCATTTTTTAATTTTAATATAAAATATAAGAATCTATCTATTCAGTTTGTACTATTTTATGGTACATGCATAATAAGTTTAAATAATAAAAAATAATAATCTTTTTTAAATGATAGTTCTTATTAACTATCTTCGTATAATTTTGGTACTTTTGTTATAACTTTGGAAACAAACACTTATTTTATACATGTTCCTTATTTCTAATCATGAAATATGTTGACACCGTTTGGAACGTGAAGCAGCCTGTACTGTTGAAGCAAAATAAAAGGGAAGAAAAGACTGGTTTAACGAAAATGTCGAAAGCTGAAACTTAACATTGTGTTGTTGTATGACGTGTGGCATGTAGCCCTTCATGGGTCAGGTAGAAATTCGTGACAGATCTAATAAATTCTCGTGTCGTCGTTTCGCGAATTTTACCAGTAAACTTGGCATTTCCTGGGAAGGATGGAATATTTGCTCGTAAACCGACGATTTCACGCTGGAATCCTACCGGTCGTGAGCGTAACTGTTTCCGGTTGAATATTCCGTCCTGGATATTCTGATAGAAAGGAGGAATTAAATTTACACGGGAAATCCGGCAGGCTATCTGGAATACGGAATAGCATAAGAAACTTTCTAGTTCCCTCTATCCTATAAATAGAGGACCTCCAATGTCTTTGACATTGAGTTATTAAGAATGTTCTGACCAATTTTTCGTATTTCGGCATAGATATTCGTGTTATCATTACGTTACAAATCACAAAACCCATAGAAAAATAGTAATTAGCTTCAGACATCGTTGATTTTGGACGATTTGTGCATAAGATTGTTTTTCAATATGAATAAAGGAAAATTAATTTTCGCTATTTTATATTATATGTGTTTCGAAAGATTCTGAGTGTTGGAATTGTAACA